TTGTTATAACCTGGATGCATTACGTAACAACAGGAACTAGCTAGTAACTATTAAGTAGTACGTAAAATGTGCGAATTTCCTACGAACAACTTACCTAAACGCGACAAAGGACGAAAAATGGCCGCATTTCAAAAGTTGAAGTGCGTAAACATGTATTTATTTACAGTTATAAAAATGTATTTATTTTATTTTTTCATTAAGGGGCCAGTAAAAATTTTCGTGGGCCAGTACATTTTGAAGGTTCACTGGTCCGACTGGCCAGTTAGTTTGAAAAGTTTTCGTGAAGACTGCATGGCTGCAAGTTGGCACAGCTTGCAGTCACCCCACACATTGGGGGGAAGCAAAGCAAGTCAACTGGACCACGACCAATACTGCCAAGACCCCCCTTCCCAGCTAGATCCTTGCACACATCTTGATTCCTAGATGTGCATATCCTTCAGCAGACTTAGACTAAAGTATTTTGAATTTCCCTTAATTTAGAAAAGGTTTTACAACACATAAGGCAATCAAATCTTACTAAATGTGATGTATCTCACCTAGTTCCTCAATGCCTAATAAAGCTTTGTCTTGTAGAAACTTACCTGTCTATTAATTCCTTCTAAATGTCTGAGCAACCTTGCAATGCTCTTTACCACCATAATTTTTCGTTTCTCCATTATTCAAGGCAAGTTAGATGTAAATGGTTGTAGTTAATCAAAATTAAAGATCTGGGTTTTTTTAAAACCAAATAGGGGGAGTTTCACTCTAGAGAACTACCTATATCATAATTCCTGTTTAAAAATTGCTAGGAAAGCCATGTCCTGCTGTTTGAAAAAACCAAATTTTATATCTCCGAAGACGACTCATTCACTCTCTAATTAGCCAATTGAAGCAGAGCAATTTGAAATTCTTATCATATTCAATTACAAGAAGGTACAACACTATTTAGTGATGGTTACAAATGCCTGTAAAAAACAATACTATCATTTTGGAAGCATACTGGTCTTGTTTAATGATATTCCTACAAAAGATACATTAGCTGAAACTTGTAACAAATTTACTAGTATTCCAATTTGTATATCATACTTACCAGTTAAGCTGCCAGGAAGATATTTGGCACCTTATAGATGCCATTTTCAAACTAGGATTTTTTGGCTGCAATTTCATTACCCATGCTTGCAATACTTGTGTAACTTGACTAATCTTATTTATGTGCTAATTGACTAAGTCCCTTCCCTCTTACATAGATTCTTTCAATAAATATTATTAATGCCTGTGATACATGTATGTGCATCTGAGCTCTACCGCTCTATATGACCACATTCTTCCACTGTGTAGCCCAAAATGCAAAGCAAAGTCTAAAATTCTTAAAGGTATAGATGTTTGATTATTAATTACATCAAATGGAAATATTTTATTTTATTTATTTATTTATTTTTTATATGCAATGAGCCTGAATACACGTATTACATGTACTGCTATCAATATGTGCTTGATCCTTCTTAATAGCATTTTGATTAAAAAACATACACCAAGTGAAATTCGTTTTAAATGTGAAGCCCAAGGGACAATGCCCAGTCCTAAGTTTTAAAGTCCGCATAATAAGAACAGAGTTACAAAATAAAAGCACCCTGTGAGGAACTTTAATAGCCCAAACATCTTAAAAATGAAGTCAAATGCACATTCAAGGTTGAGCAATCTGTATAAAAATCCAAAAACATATAAACTTTCTGTGAGAACTCTTTTGAAAATTAATTGATACATTGTTAGGGATTTAAGGAACTTGCTTAATTGTGTCACTTCTTGTGTGTAAATATAACCAAATTTGAAATAGTTTAAATAAGTTTATTTGCAACATACATTCTGTTGCATTTATTATAAGTTAACTTGGATTCTAGAAGTAATGCAATTTAACTTGGTATTTCTAACACTGTTATCTTAAGTAACCTGAACTGATCTGGAAGGTCATGTCTACCTACATCTCAAATATCCAATATCTCTACTGAAAGCTTTTCCTAATCCCAAACGTTTAAGAAAATGAGATTTGACTATTCCTTTTTTGCTTTAATTATTAAAAACCAAAATATATTCATTTATAAATGATTACAAAACATTCTTGACATTTCTTGGATTACATATTGCAATTTCCAACCTTTCATTTCCACTTTATTGGATCAAAACAAAACTATCCTAGTAATTCCAGTCTTAGGCAATGGATGGTTTATGGTTACATATAAGTAATTTGTATTTTCCTTTTCATTCAAGAATTAATATGAATTGATACATTATGTTGTTTAACAATGAAGATGCCCCCCCTTTCTCATTTTCACCTTTGTATTACTATATTTCAATGATCATTTTGTTTCCAATTGAATAACTAGAAAATAGAATCTCCAACAAATACAGACTTGAGAAAGGCATTTTCCAGAGGATCATTGCTCCTCGACCCCAAATTTAGATCTCTTTTCTTCTTGAAGTCAACTATCATGAGTAAGATGCCCAATTTCAGTGTAAATCTATAAAATTTATGATATGCAATTGATATTATCACTTGCCTTATAAATATCAGGGGCTTTCACAACATTAGATAATAATATTTCATGAATACAAAGAACTAAACTCTAGGAAAATTAGGTGCAGTTAAATATCTATCACAAAACTACTCTGGAAAAAGATATGTACTTCATTCTCCTTTTTATTTACATTCATCACAAACTTGAGATATATACTATGTCAGCCTGAAAAATGTAGGCATTAATGCCTAATAGTTTTGAGCCATGTTGAAATGCCTAACAGTTAGGGGTGGGACGATACACAGATCTTGCGATACGATACATATCTCGATATATTGGCACGATACGATACATATCTCGATATTATGATAAATCATAAAACTATTAAAAATAGTATTTTATTTCATTTTTTTTCTTGACATTAACACATGATAAATTATAAAACTATTGAAGTATTCAAAATAATAAGTATTTTATTTATTTTTTTTGTCTTGACATTAACTCAAATAATTATTTTATGTCAAATCATGTGTGCTATGAAATTAATACTTGAAGTTCATCAACTTCATTGACTAAAACTTTACAAAAACAATAGTAAAGGACAATTGTATATATTACCAAATTTCTATTAACAAGTTGTTTACAAATAGTTGTGTAGTTTATCAATGAACACTGACTAAAAATTCATTTAAAACATCACATTTACATTATTAATTGCTGAAAGTCTGTAGCCAAGTTGAAATTACAAAAAAAAGTATGAATGGACTAACAATTAATAATATCAATTGGTCTGGAAACGATCCTTTTCTGTGTATAGCACGCTTTGCACACTGAACTTTTCTTGTCCAATCTTCCGCGGCTGCTTAAAAGTGAAAACGTATTACCCCTAATCAAAGGCTTATTAGTTCTAAGGTGTGTTTTCAATATCAACACCATCTCTTCGCTTCGTACAGGCCGCCATTTTCAAGGACAGGTACTTTCATTTTCAATTTTTGGATAGGTCATTCGTGTATCGTTTCGTACCGATATTTGAATGCTTGTATCGTAAACCGTATCTTAGAGGAAAATATCGATATGTATCGGTGTATCGGTATATCGCCCCACCCCTACTAACAGTTCTGAGTCATGCTGTAAGTAATGCCTAATAATTCTGAGCCATGTTGTAAGTAATGCCTAATAATAGTTCTGAGCCAGGTTGAGCCATGTTGTACGTCATGCCTAGTAGTTTTCAGCCATATTATCATAATGCCCCGTGGGGATCCGGGTTAGAATAGGTCCTCAGTACCCCCTTGCTTGTCGTAAAAGGAGACTAAATGGGGCGGTCCTTCGGATGAGACCGTATAAACCGAGGCCCCGTGTCGCAGCAGGTGTGGCACGATAAAGATCCCTCCCTGCTCAATGGCCATGAGTGACAAGCATAGGCCTAAATTTGCAGCCCTTCACCGGCAATGGTGACGTCTCTATATCAGTGAAATCAATCATAATGCCTAATTGTTCTGAGCCATATTTTAGATAATGCCTTAAGCCAAATAGTTCTTAGCCATGCTTTATGTAATGCCTAATATTCCTTGGATTTAAAAGACTTACCAATCTATTCCTACAATCAAACAAAACGTTGCAACTGTTTACATCACATACCTGAATATCTGATATACCGGACTGTTAATCTGTGATTATACTTATTTCAATGTCTGGTTTTCCAAACGATTTGAAGATAATTTTCAATGCCTTTCTTTGACTTGTAGTCTTGTATTTGGGTCCATGTCCACGAGAAGCTCCGACCGAGCTACCTTATTGTTGTTCACATGCATAGGGCCTATTCTAGTTTCCTTTTGCCGGGTTTCGAAGCAGTATGAAACAAAAAGAGAGTTATTAATGTTAATAACCAACATTACATCATTGTAAAACAATACAAAGGTATAAGTAAACGATTTTTTAGTATAACCGCGTGCGCGTCGTCTGCTTTGTAAAATGTTTGAATCCAATCTCATCCGTCATAATTAATGCGCATCAATAGTAATAACAGCGTTAAAATGGTTGAGAACAATGTATAAATGAAAAATCGTACAAATTTTAAAGTTACAAACCAAAATTTAATGTATTTTATTGCAAGCAATTGTTATGCGTCTTTACCTTCGAAAGGTTCAGGAGAAAGAAATGTGATGATCAAACCCGACCTTTTATATACTACACTTGATGTGTCAACCGAACCCGACCCCTAAAGGCCAACGTTCAAATAACAAATACTTGGGACCTATAAACTAGTTTATAGGTCCCTTCAAATATACTTTTCTCGTAAAATAAAGGCATCTATTTTGTATACACAAATAGATGCTATTATTTTTCAAATGAGTAAATAGCAAAAACATTATATTTGATATACAAATTTTTTTTGAATAATAATAAAATAATATCTGAGTTTGCCATGGAAACTCATAATTGAATAGATAAAATTGATAAAATTCATGAAATTGATAAGATTTTTTATGCTTCTAATATCTAACTTACCATTTCAGAAAATTCCTCTCAATATTGAAATAATTTTTCCTTTGAATGCTGTTGAATACGAAAGAATATTTTGCGTCGTTCTTTATAAACGAATTAAAAATGCCCAGAGGCTAATGGAGTTTCTGTCCTAAATTTATTTGGGGTAAATAGCAAAAACATTATATTTGATATACAAATTTTTTTTTGAATAATATTAAAATAATATCTGAGTTTGCCATGGAAACTCATAATTGAATAGATAAAATTGATAAAATTCATGAAATTGATAAGATTTTTTATGCTTCTAATATCTAACTTACCATTTCAGAAAATTCCTCTCAATATTGAAATAATTTTTCCTTTGAATGCTGTTGAATACGAAAGAATATTTTGCGTCGTTCTTTATAAACGAATTAAAAATGCCCAGAGGCTAATGGAATTTCTGTCCTAAGTTTATTTGGGCTTTTTTTTCAAATCGTGTAATATCCTGGACCAACAAGGTGACATTAATGTGCATATGCAAGATTTTAAGGAAATCAACAAGCAATATATTAAACGAATGAGACAAAGTGGATATTCCTGACATATACAATTCTAAACCAGTTAAAACAAGAATGCAATGACTGCAAAACTTATAAATTCAAGTAACGTCTCTTCGACTCTTTTAAGACATTGCAGTTTTATTACTTTTTTTAAGCTGTATATTTTTCATTTGTTTCTTTTAATTATATGATTTGTGGGATGTAAATAAAATATCTCATTATTGTTGCATGCATATTGTATGGAATTGTTTAGGAAAAAATAATTTTTATGTAAGGAATAACTATACGCTTTTATGAAAACCTCGCTTAGAGTATGCTATTTTATACTTTGGCATAACATATTTAAAAATTCTTTTAACATTCAAAATGAATTTAAGAAATAGGTCTGTTAATTACGGGGCGCATTTGGTAACCACTGGAAGAACTGCGAACGATAGTATTGTTCTCCCGCCGACCTCCAAGTCAATTTTCAAAAGTTAACATATTCGATGAATTTTTAATATTTTTTATAGATAATTATATGGATTTTCATAAAACATTACTTATTTGGGAAAACAAAGAGAGATGACTCTAAAATTTTGGTAAAACTTGTTTTTCACTATAGAAATCAATGGAAAACGGAAAATATTTTTAAAACATCTTTCCCCCCCGTGTCACAAAAATTCCTTTGTACAGGTAATATGGAATGGTATTTCACAAATTCATGCCAAAGCTTTTTATGTGACACGGGGGGGGACATATGTTTATTGAAAAAAAACGATAAAATTGCTTATTTTCCACCAAGTTCAAAGCGATATAGAACTGAAACATTATATCTTATTGAAATATTTATGTTTTATTTATTTGCCTAAAACATAAGAAAAGATATAAGGAACATTTAATCATATCCTAGACTATTTAAAAATACGGTGATGCTTGAAACTCCGATTTCAATGGAAAATATCGTCTACCCCCCTTTTTCAAGAGCTGGAATTATGGATAATTTACTGTTTAGCGCTGGTATTAAGATGATTTATCAATTAGCATTGAACTGTTCTTTGTATTAAACAAAGATTTTATGGCCAAATTGCTATTCATATTGAATTAATTGGTTCCAAAATGTAGGCGGGAATCGAGAGTTAGCGTGCGTGTTTCTTCCAATAGATTGTTGGAAGATCTGGTCTCCAAAAATCATAAATTTATTGTTAATCAGAAACTCAAGCATCTTTTTAATATGAATATTCTGTGACACAAACAAACATTACCGTAAAGTTTTTGACTCTTAAAGCACATGAAGTTTTGCGAAAACTTGAGACTCATTGACTGGTAATACTCTGGAGAATGTCAAGGTCCATTGGTCTTTTTAAGGAGGCTAGGGGGTCAACAAATTTAACCATCAGATTCAACTTAATTTTTAGATATGCTATCTTAAGCTGTCAACTATCATTTGACGCAAAATTTCATACATTTTAGTTTTAAAATTTGATCATTTCTGTATATCTTTCTATGGAGCTCTTCTTTTAAAGGAGGTTAAGATAGTCTGCAAATAGCTGCGACCCCCATCCCCTTTAAATGAAGGATGTGGAGATAACGACCAGTATTCAATATCAAAGTCCATAAAACAATACAAAATAGAAGCAGAGCAAACACGAACCTCCAAAACACTAGAGATGGATCAGGTGCCATAGGGGAGTGAGTATCCCCTGCCGACCGGTCACACCCGCCGTGTGCTCCTTGTCATGATCGGGAAATAACGGAAAAATCCGTCGTCAATTCAGTGTATAAATAATGGACTAACAATTGGTATGAAAAACGTCAGTCAGCATTTGACTCAATGATAAATTGTATTTGCTGACAAAGTCATTGTATCGACCAAAGTACTTACGAAATGATGACTTTAAAAGAGACTGCTGATATTCTTGTTTCATCAACTTGTTTGTCAATACTTTACCTCGTTTTAGAAATTGTTCATACGTAGAGCATGCTCTTGCGTATCGAATCAACTGAGATATATAAACTCCGTATGCAGGTGATGAAGGTATATTGCTATATAGGTAAGGGAAGTTGACAATAGAAAAGTTAAAGTCATCACGTTTATCATAGAGCTTTGTTGTTAGATTACCGTTAACGTCTTTTTCAAGTAAAATATCCAAGTATGAAACGGATATCTCATACTCTGTGACATCTTTTATCTCATGCTCACCAGAATATATCGTATCGACATAGGAATGGAAATAACAATTGTTAATTGTCAATACGTTGATATATCTAAATGTTGAGTTGAAGGTCACGGCAAGTGTTTTTTTTTTCTTTTCACAAATAAGATTTTGCACAAATTCTACTTCATATGAATACAAAAATAGGTCTGCTAATAACGAGGCGCATTCAATACCATTGCAATTCCAAGACCTGGTCTTTAAAAATAACATAGATATTGTCCATCAGAAACTCAAGCATCTTTTTTATGTCAACTTTAGAATACTTGTGTGTGTAATCAGAGTGTTTTTTAACAAAGTAATTTTGCAATTGACCAATGACCAGGTAAGAAAATTTTCGAGTTCCATTTTTATTGAAAAAGCAGCTGTCAATGATATCTAAAAGCCTGAACTTTAATTTATCCTGGGGATTGTTTGTGTATAATGTTGAAAAGTCGTAAGTTTTTGGGTTGTTGATTTTGATAAAATCTTGCGATTTCAAAATGTCCAAGAGTTCCTTGGAATTTTTGAGTATCCACGTCTGATTCACCCCGCTTCTGGAACACATTGTTGCACAGTACTCTTGAAGTTCTTACTTCACTACTTAGTGAGAAGTAAAGAAAGAGGCTTGGTTGAACATTTACTGGAACCCGCAAGGTATCTTTGTTTGTAAGGATTCTTTTAATTTGATTTAGTTTCGGAATCCAATAATAGATATATACCTGGTATATAGTAGTTCAAATTCATTTTGGTTCTTCGGGATATTAAAATATTCAAAACTGATATGCTTTTGGAGAATTTCTTCCTTAGAAAGGGAACTAAGGACAAAAACACTAGCCACAACTTATACCTTTTTAAATAAAAATCAAAAATAAATCAAAACAAAGACTAATCTTTTAAAGTCTTCTTTTAAATATATGATTGAATTTCAGATATACACTTAACATGTATAAATTATATACAGCTTTCTTGTACTTGACTTGGATATTAAATGTCAATAATAAAATTAATGTTTTCAGCTTCACACTTTCGCTTAACATTTTAAAAAGTAATTTTTTCTTTGAAGAAGGTTTATTTTATATTTTTTTCTAAAGTAACAATCCAGAATCATGCAATATCAACAAAAAAGTTTCGAATGAAAATAAACTGAATAGCCATTAATACAATATTGTGCTTAAAATCAAAATATCTATTGTTTATACCAAAGCATCTCTGTTTTTAATCAAAAGATTGCAATAATAAATATTTAACGAGTGAACAGCAAGTGACATAATGTTTGTGCAGCAAGGGCTAGCAGTAATAAACACTTTACTACTTATCTAGATGATTTACTGTCCATTATACACTTTTCCAATCGTTTGATGGAGTCTTGGTAACATGTTTTCAGACAGGTCAGCTTGCTCCGGGGCATGGTTTTACAGGACGTATAACACAGGATCAATCTGTCACGTGTTCTCTGAACGCACTGAGTCTCAGAATCACAGTCCCCGCGTGTTACCATGACAACAAGTGTTAATGACAGGACCGTAAGGTAGAGGGCAGCACCTGTCGCCATCTGAACAAAAACAATAACATACCAATTCATTTGAATATTATTTCATAGCAATGAAACTAAAAGTCAATGTAATAAAAGAACAAGGTTCACTTTTGCCTTATTTGGCCCTGTGAATTTCTGAAAAACTGAAACTGCATTGTTTTAATTAAACATGCACTGAATATCACTTAGATCTTGGATGTCTGCGTATCTATCAACATTGGTGTAATTTTCTGGCTGGTGAATGCATTATGACGTCAAAAAATGCGTCAATTTCCTCATATTATGAAAAAGTCTTCAAAAACGGCCAATTTTTAAAGCTATTTTTCGATATTTAACGTAGAGCGCAACCTCTGATCTAAAATCAGCAACTACTAAATGATATAATTGTTTCTGGGGATTAAAAGACATGCTTTATTTTTTAGATCAGAGAGTGCGCTGAATTTATTTTTCTTAACTGAATGTACTCAATTTTAACTGTTTACCTTGAAATTCAAGAACATTACAGTTTCATAAAGCCAGTTCTCCAAGACCCGGACTTTAAGGAAAAAATTGTTGATAGGGAATGTAAGCACTAAGTCTTTATTTTATTTGAAAGCTTCAATTGGAAAACCAGGTGTCAATCTACAGGGCCATTTTATGCATTAAGTGAACCGAGCTCTTTTAAAAGTCCTTATTAAACCATACCGGGGTTCTTGAATAAAACAGACTTATTGACTACTTGAAACTAAGTATTAAAGTAATAAACATACATGGATTACAAGTACAACAGTTGTAAGAAATGTGAACAATGCAAACAGTGCTCCATTTCATTAATCCGTAGTAAAAATAATTTTACTATACCTTTGAACAGGCCTAAACCAGGTAGGACTTTTTACATTTTAAAGATTCGAACTTTCTCTTTAATTAATCATATAAACAATACAGATCGTGAACAGGACTAAGAGACCGACACCAGACGTAGGATCAGATGCCCAGCATAAATAAGCATTCTCTGCTGTCCAATTACGATCACTTTCCTCTTAATTTTCTTAAAGGAGCTAACCATAGTCAAAATAAGTTAAACACAATAGCCGTATTATTGATATGTGCAACATTTCAATCAAAATACGACCCAATGGTAGTTTTTTTTCCCTCAAACGAGATCCTTATAACAAACATTGATATTGAGAAATGCTGACGTTATACAAAGTTGTTTAAAGTTTATTTAAGAAATGAATTTAAATTTTGAAGATTCGTGAGATTATGAACTACGACGCTTCACGCCGGCATATTTCATGAAGCTTCATGAAAAATATGCCAGCGTGAAGCGTTGTAGTTCATATACCTCATAAATCTTCAAAAATTAAATTCATTTCTTATATTTACATTTTTTTTTTCTGATGACTTGTCATAAATTTACGCCATTCAACTGTCATTTTTAAAGCAAAACTGCGTGCACTATATTTTTTGACGTCAAGAGCGGTACCTGTATTATGACGTAACAATGGAGATATTCATGCTTATTCGTGGTACATACTTAACGTAGTTCATCAGAAAATATTTACATTTCCAATAAATTTCCCCTATGATTCTTTACAAGATAAAATGCAGTATATTTTCTCATGAACTACATTAGGTATGTATCACGAATAAGCATGAATATCTCCATTGTTACGTCATAATACCACTCTTAACGTCAAAAAGTCAAAAAATATAGTGCACACTGTTTTGTTTTAAAAATGACAGTTGAACGGCTAGCGCGCTTCATGAAATATGCCGGCGTGAAGTGTCGTAGTTCATAACCTCATGAATCTTCAAAAATTAAATTCATTTCTTAAATGAACTGCATTTTTTTGTAAAGAATCATAGGGGAAATTTATTGGAAATGTAAATATTAGTCGTTAACCTGCCACGTTTTCAAATTGGTCGTGCTCCGATTATATTATCTTTGTGTACTGAAAAGATGTAAGTGATAGTGGAATATTACATAAGTAATGGATCTTAATAATAGAAAAGCTGCTAAAAATGGTAAATTTCTGCTAAATATGTATTTGTTTACTAATTCAACCAGAATTCCGAGCAGAGATGTAGATTTCATAAGAAATTATTAAAGAATTAAAGAATATAAAAAAAATATAAATTAAAGAATTTTGAAATTTGAATGCGAATAACATGTACATGTATCAGTGAAAAATAAATTGTTTTAACGAACTCTGAGAAAATTCAACTCTCATTCATGCTTGCATATAATCCTTTCAGAAATATCAATCAAAAATTTCGCCTAACATCAATGTAATGAAAACTGAAAATGTCCTCTGAATTTCAAATCTGTATAACAATCAGGATGCATGATAAAGTTCAACCATGTTTTATGATTAGATTCAAAACTTTTGCAACCAATTTTTCCGTCTTTGTCATTATGCAAAGCACGAATGTAAATGCTGGCAACCTAAAGAAGATTTTTTGTGAAAGAAATGATGTCAATTTTTTTAAAAGAACAAATACTACATACCTTTCACAGAGATTTGTAAGACTATAACTCTGAAAACAAGCATTGTAATTTTATTGTATATGAAGGATCACTGAGGTTAACAGCTGTTTCACATACACAACATATGTACACATTTGATTACTATATTAAACAGCTGATTAGTCCATTAGATAAATAAAAGAGGATTGCTACGCTCCATTATTACAATAAATCACATAAATATCAAGGACTCAAGGGAAAACAAAACATTTAATTTTTAGTTAAATAATTTCATTTTTTTATTACAGAAATAATGATGTAAAGATTGCTCTGGAATTTGTTTATAGATATATATATACAAAAATGGATATTTTTTCAAAATCAGATTATCAACCTAGTATGCATGTAGTATATTTATTATAGGTATTTCTTAACTTTAGGTTAGAGAGCATTAATGAGACCAAGACGTACTAAGGACCAGTAAAAGGGACCAGAGCTTAAGGACGTTCGATCCTGAGATTTTGAGCGTAATTTGGTCAGGTCCTTTATTTATAAAATTCTGCATCATTTTTAAGTTCTAACATTAAATCTGAATTCTACAGTGCAAATTTAACTATATTCAATGAAAAAACCGCGATTAAATTCCATTCAAGTAGAATTAAGGTAGGGACTACTAGTATATTTTGTGGCGGAAGGTTTTTTAAACGAAAATGATCAGTTTTTCCATTTTGAACTATAACAGTACTGTTAATTTTGGATTCCTATTTTACCATCCTGGTTGCACAAAAAGCTGTTTTTTGCACTGAAATGTATTATGCTGGTTCTGAAATATCTATTAAATCATTTCTTATGAATTCTATCAACAATGTGTGACAAATATAGTTAATATATTCTGAAAATCCGGGAAAAAATTGAGCCAATTTTAACGTAAAATTGACACTTTTTTAGTACACTGTAATATCTAAAAATTTACATCATTATACCCCCACTTTTGATGTCCTTTTCTATATATTCAAGATAAATTTGACCTATTTGCTTAAAATCAGAAAAAGTTTAAGACTTTAAAATAATTTTCTTGATTATTGAATTTTCAATGCCAGAAAAATCACTTTTTATTAGTGCAGAAAGGTCAAATAATTGATTACGCGAAGCAATTTGAAACTTTTTCTTAGTCACAATTTTTAAGTGTCTTTTTTTTAAACAAACTTAGAGTTCATTTTATTTCATGCTGTAATCGGATAAAAATATTGGAGGGAAAACGTCCAAAATTTAATTTTTAATTAAGACACAAATTTTACTGCAAAGAGGTCATATTAAATGTACTGTAGCGCCAAAAGAAGCGTATTGACCCCCATTTTTTGATTTGAATTTTAATTCAGCTATGTATGTAGAAACTAAAAATATACTTGGCAAAAAAAGTTTAAGACTTTAGATATCAGGATCGAACGTCGTTAACATCTTTATTACATTTTCAACAGTGGAATACATTTATTGACTGTGTTCGAGGTCAACATGCGTTTTGTCGGACCCAGCAGGTAAACCGTTTGCCTGCATGGGGCCATACGGTCCAAGGCAAACAGTTTGGTTCCAGGGATGGACACAACTAATGAAATTTTGCCAGAGAACACAGGCAGTAAATGATTTCTCATACTTTTTTTTATTTTGATAAACTGTTGTATCTTATTTATATGCGTGTTGACAATGTGTTATGACAATATCGAATTCAAAAATATATTCACAATGTATTATACTAGTATATCCTGGCAAGGAATAAAACTGACACAGTTATTAAAAACCATTTTACAATTATAATCTCACAATACACTGGCTTTGACATCTTACATCTGCTTAACTTAGCCCATGCAGTCCACGATACTGTAATACGTAGAGAATATGAAATAAATAGAAAATGCATTGTTTTGAAGTCAGTTTACAAATATTTAAATAATCTCTATATTCAACTTGGCATTAATATAAAAAAAAAGAATATTGTGTACAACTTAAGATCGATCCATACTAGTGTGCATTTGCCATCTTGTACATGTGATACAGTGTATATGTCTGCCACAATACAGATCTGAAGGTTTTACAAAGAATTTCTTCAAAATTTCATGTTGACAAAATGTAGGTATCTTTGTAAAACATTTGAATTATTGACATTATTTTTATATTATTACGGTTACATTAAATTTTAAATACATGTAATGTAAAAGGTACACTTTCTTTGAAGAAAACAAACTAAATTTAACTGTTTGTATAGGACAAATCTTTGCCAACCATGTCTTGTTAAATAGGTCAAAAGAGTATTAAGATTTAAATATGAACCCTGGGATAGGTGTGTGTGCTCTTCAGGTATATCAGATAGCAATGTTTGCAGGTCAGATCAGGTCAAATATTGGAATTCTACGTTGTCATCTGTTTATGAAGAAGCTCTGATGGTCTACAGCGCTCCTCGTGCTGGGGTTTGTATCGGATTGAACTGATAATGGACAGAATTAATGAGGATGTTGAGGAAGTGGGAGAATAATCCTGGCTATTCTGTCACACTCATTGTCAATCATAAAACGTTCAGTGTTCAACAGATGTGGAAATCAAGGGATACTTCCAGTCAACGTTTTTTGTGAGCTCTTAGGGCACCTTCCGTGTACGTTTTAAAATGAGATCAATATTTTTTATGCTCGTGTGATTGTACAGTAGTCTCTCTAAGTCATGTGATCGTGGATATAAGTACCTTATATCAGTGAAAGCATGGTTTAATTGCTTTAATAACCTTCCTCCGTTTCCAAGTCTGGGTACATACCACTCCAGGTGCCGCTCCGAGCTTTTATTGCCTGCAATTCTGTCACCAGAATGGGTTTGCACATCTGGCGTAATGTTTGACTTAAACTGTGCACACAAAGAAGTGAAGTTAACTGTGATGATTGCACTGAAGTTTCAGATCATGCAACAATGTAAAAGAGCTCTAGCCTTTTGGATTTTACTTAATAGTAAATTAATTGAAACTCTCTGTTTTGTGAATATTGATTGTAAAACACAGGTAATTTTAATTTCTCTTTCTCATTGAAAAATGTTGCTTTTAGTTTATTTTTTCTGTGTATGAATATTCACGTTTAATTTATTTTCAGAAATCAGAATGTTCTGGATATCTTGGAATGAGAGGTAACGTTAACTTCAAATATTGAATGCATTTTTTAGCGATTTAACTGTACATAAAATGGATAACATTAACGTCGACTTTTACACTTAAATCGTAGACCTGCTATTGGCAATAAAGTTGGCGATTCAAAGATATTAAGGGATTCGTTCATATTTGGCAAAATCTATGGTCAATGCCATGACCTTATTAGCAAAAACAATCTGCTGACAGATGTTTTTATACAAACTGAATAATCTTATATTTATTTACCATTCCAAAAATATATCTTCATAAATATCCATTGCTTTAGCTTAATATACCACAGGAGTATTTTTCAGATTGTTTGCTTTCGGACTTAAGAAAGTCATTTCCTGAACTGTTTGGAAGCAATGTAAATCTTCTGTCGCCTGGTAGACCCTCTAAACTCCGGAGTTCTCTGAATATGACAGAACAAACACTGATCCTTAACTGGCAACCGCCCCCTGACAGTAAGTGTGAAGTGGAATCTATTAAAAAGGCATTTTCTATTCATTTTTTGTCAGTGTTTCTTTTTAAATTATTTTTACGTGATTTGTTATTGAAAATGTGTTCCTATGAACTTAATGAAAAATTGGAATAGGTTCGTCATGTTAACAAGTCCAGTTAAATCTTCGCTAAGTCAGGTCAAATGTGACGTCGAACTTTTTTCAGAGTGGGTGAAGGGAGAAGTAGAAACAAGTAGCAGTAATCGTTTATCAATGTAATATCACGATTAGAAAACGGATGAATTAATCTTATTTAAAGCACTTTATTTTGTTTTTTCTAACAATATATTAATCGATTATTATATAATCACTTTTTGGATACTGCTACATCTGATTCTTCGTCGAAAAATTGAGCAAATTGTTTTAGAAAATCTTTTTTTTTGTGTGTTATGCTATAAATCCTTTTGAATTTCATAACTTTTACCCCAGTATTTTTCAAATTGATGCTTGTTTAGTAAAGAATTTTATTCAATACAGTGAGAAAGTCGACTGTTATAGTTTAATAACACTGGTTTTAGTGTTAAATTTGAACTTTAAAAAGTGTTAATTCGAGGTTATGTATCAAAACAATATATATATTTTTTATTTGATGAACTTTTAAAAATGTTACCCTTTCGTCAAGATTTAGTCTTTGATTATTTACATCAATTATTCGTGTAAATTAATTTATATTGTACATCTCAGCTGAATATTAAATTAATTTTGACGGCTAATTTAAACACAGGCAGCATTTGGGACGTGAAGGGTTTTTTCCTGACAATCCATGGAGTGGATGGACTGGCCAGCGGACTACGTCAGTGTGTCGTCATACGGCTCAGCAGGCCTCTAAACGCTACTCACTATAACGTAGGTTATGTCGTACTTTGTCCAATAACACTGATACTTTTTAAAATGATCTCAAAGAGACATATTTTTGTGTTAGCTCGAACGATAAAGTTGTCCAAGATCACATAAAATCACGCTTGAAATAGATACATAATTGGTGTTAAAAACATTCTTTTAATAATGGGGCTGAGGTGATATTTATACATTATCTAGAAAATTAAAGTCCTACATTTTTTGTTTTCATGATTAATTTAAAAAAGAAATTTGACTATTTTTTTTTCAAATTTTAAATAAACAAATTCAATATTCAAGAAAGTGTAAATTGAATGTTTTCAGCAATATTGCTGCATGAATCAAACCTCAGAAGGTTTAATGGCTTTGGAGATGTTATATATTAATGTCTGTCATGTTCTAAATTTTGTATTTACTCCCACCCGGTAAATTCAAAATTTAGAACATGACATTAAGCTAGCAAAAGCATTCCATCTCAAGAGAGTTAGGCATTTTGAATTTCAGTATTTAAGTATTAAAAAATTGTTATGTTCCTCAACTACTAGTGAAATTTACATTTACTTTAAAACAGGTTAGAATTAACAATCGACTACATGTATAACAGCTTTATTTAATAAAACTAACAACAATCAAACTCTCAAATGAGCTTTTTGTCCTTTTCTCAAAGTTTGATTTCTTCTCTTTGAAATCTTTCAACCAAGCTTGGAGCTTATAGTTCATCTTATTTCCCTGTTTGTTAATTGTAAATTTAATTGAGCAACTTTCAAATCATGAAATTAAAATATGTACATATGAAAATTTAATGATAAAGAAGTCTCTCTCACTATAGTGTATTATGTCCGGATCAAAGAGATCTCTTTAATTACTCTAACTTGCCCTGGACGACCACAATGTTGATCAATGTTATTCCCCACAAAGTGGTCGATTTACCCTGAACAAGAATGCACTGCTGGGGATTGTAAATGATAGAAAGCTACCATTGTTCATAAAATTGTCACATCAAGTCTCCCAGTAGTAAACATGTTGAATGCTATTAACTAAATGCCAAATATGACTATCAACTTAATTTGAACAGTCTGAGAAAGTAAAATAAAACACTTACTTAAATTACATGCATGTTTCTAAATTTCTAAATCATTTCAATTAATTCATGTATTTCCTCAGTGCATCTTGGTTCTATCTGGATGAGTTTCTTAAAATATGTTTGTGTTAAAATCATAACTTTGTTCTGTAGACCAAGTTTGAAATAACCTACCATCCAGTATTTGAGTCTTCCATCTACGATTTCCGAATAGTTTCTCTTCCAGTAGCCGATATAAAGTTTGACACTAACGATGATATGCTGGCTGCTCGTCTCAGAATGAAAATTGGAAAGGCTGCAGGTAGTTTGTCTACATGAATCGTCCTAAGGTTTACGATTTTATTTTATAACTTTCTACAAGATAATAAAATACACAAATAATTGAAAAATTATCAAGATTATAGACGATTTGTATGCTTAAAAATCTTTAAATTTTTTCCAGATAAAAACTCACCTGCAGATTGGACGACACCAATGACGTGTCACTCAGATGATGTCATGATCACGGCCGTGTTTTCTCTGCCTCCAAAGCGGTTTAAGATGACGATATTTGACGTCACAGTCGTGCACTTATCACAAAACAGTTCCCATCTGTGGGAAAATTCCAGTAGAATTTCTTTATTGGTGGGTCTTAGGGATTATATTATAAATTAATTGAACATGATTTTAAAAAAATTATCGTTTATAGTCAGTAAACATTCAAATATAAAACAGATTCCTCAGTGTCTCTGTTGTGTTTTTCATTGCAAATTCACCAGGATACATCAAGTCGACTGTGAGTGGAAATAAATAGTGTTAATTGATAACACGTCCTTGTATATGAATGTCCTTCGTGACCAGAACAATTTATCTAATACTAGTATACAATAAGCAGATAAACAAATTTAGTATATTTAACAAATACAACCTTTACATAAATAAAACATTATAAGGTTTCAATCTGAGGTGTATAATACATTTCTTTTGGCACCCCCATGTACTCCAAGAATCCCAAGTCTGTAAGAGTCCGTGCCCCTTATAGTTGATTATTTTCAACAAAAATAAATCATCTCTGACACTTCTCTTTCCATTATGTATTTATTCTTTTTTCAGGATGGCAATTTTGAGACATTACACCAACTTCAATGGGTGAGTATATAGCTTTAATTTCACAAATGATTAAGCATTATTTCACTTGTCATAAAAATAGAATTGGTTATTCACTATTGTTCGTTCGTTTTCAGAATTATAGCAGTTTTAAGGAGCCCATTGGTGACAGAATAACTATATCGGTTAGTGATTGATTACTAAATTATAAAAAACGAAAAAAGGTATCATTCTCTCCACAATATACATTGTCCATTTGCAATAATATACAATGTTTATATTTGATACGTTCGGCAAGAGTTCTATCAATTTTAAATGTTGTTTGTAGCTTCGCCCTGTTGACCGCGTGATGGGTCTAGGACAATGTATTTGTTACAATGCAAATAATTTGTGTTTGGGTGGATGTGAACAATCTTCTTGTACAATTAAAGTAACTGATCACTCAAAACAAGGTAAACAAATCCTTCATTGAATATAAATTTCAAACGTTTCATACCGTATTCGTAGAATTGATTTTGAGAGAAAGCTTATGCGTGTAACTTATCCACTAAAGCTTTTTTAATTCACAGTGTCATCATCAAGTAAAAGTCCTCTCAGAAATGATTTGGTTCCAACAAGTCTGTTGAAGGACCATCTTCTTGCCATTTCCACATCGCTGTCACTTCTGTTAGTTTCCATGGCAACTGGATTCATACTTTTCTTTTTACGAAGACACTATACTTGCATAAGGAACCAAAAAAGTCCAAGTAAATTTTCCTTTCTTATAATCTGTGCAGGTAAATATAAAATTTTTATTCCCAGGGACATTAATAAAAAGTTTTATACTGTATTTTCCGTTCTCTACAGCAAAGGCAAATGTGCAACCTAACAACCAGGGTGTTGCTGACGCTCTGACGTCACCAGATTTTTCTTTGCAACACCAGCAAACTGATACCTCTAACTTTGCCGGTAGCTTTGACACTTTCTTAAAACCTTCGTCGGAGATTGAAGAGGGAAGCATGACGCTCAGTGAACAAATGCTTCAAATCAACGAGAACTACCTCAAAGCTATCAATCGTACTGGAAGCAATATGTCTCTATACGCCGACAAAGTTAGTCTTGGTGGAAAGAGTGTTTGAACACAGGTAACTAGGTATTCTCTACAAAGGTAGTCATGTTGGTAATACTAAGTATTCCCTACAAAGGCAGTCATGCTGGTTTAGTATGTTTGTTTGGTTTTTTTTGCAGTTTTCTGTCACAAAACCGTTTCAAAGACGGCTTAAAAACTTTATTTGATACTTCCCGTGACCTTAAAATACGGTATAATATTCAATTATGAATGTATCTCATAATTGAAAAAGGTATAAAATAATTTGTTAGATTCAAGGAATGAAATGTATCCAAGCTTAGGTATTCTGTTGTTAATGAACAACCAGTGTTGTATTTTTTCAGTTGGATCAATTTAAGATCATATGTTATTAATTAAGTTATGAAAATATATGAAGATAACTAACAGTAATCGAGCTCAAAAGTCCATTAAAACGATACAGACAAGTAAAAGCATGAGAGGGGGAATCAGTTTTCTATAAAAGGAGTGAGCATCCCCTAGCAGTCAACCGTTCAAACCCGCTCGGTGCTCCTTGTCATGATCGGTAAAACAAACCCTAAACAACTTAGTGTGTAAATAATGTCCTAACCATTTATTTGAAACTATTTATCAACATTCGACTTACTGATATATTGTATTTCATTATATTAATTTGTTAGATTTGCAAAATGTTGACCTTAAAACAGGACTGTTGATATCCTTGCTTCATCAAGAGCTGCATGCATGGCGTTGTTTTAGGAATTGTTTGTGCATACAACATGCTTTTGCATGGATATCGAATCAAACTGAGACACAGAGTCCTTTAATACATGTAATAAGGTATATTGCTACATGAGTGAGGGAAGAGTGATAGAAAAAGTTGAGGTCATCACGTTTATCATAAAGCTTTCCTTATAGGTTATCAATGACACCTTTTTCTGGTAAAGTATCCAAAAATAAAACAGATGTGTCAGAAGTGAGAACTCTTTAGTATCTTTTAATTTGAGTTAAAAGTAATATACGGAGCCAATGTAGGAATGAAAATCAAATTTTAAATAGATAAAACGCATTTTAAATTGAAGGCTATTGCAAGAGATGTCTTCTTTTTGTGTCGAAAAAGAATAATTTCTACTTATCATATGAATACAACAATGGATCTGCTTATAACGGGATGCAATAAGTTCCCATGCATTCCCCATGTATTGTTGGAAGACTTAGTGTTCTCCAAAATCTACCAGCTAGATATTGTCAATCAGAATTTAATGAGATATATTTTAGAAAGCAACTTCAAAAATATTTGTGTAGTGTAAACAAGCTAACATATCTTTTATAAGATGTGCATATATGTATTTTAGGAAGAAATATTGCATTCTAGGATCTACAGGGTACGGCGACACTCTACCCTTTTTCTTTGAGTAGTTCACCACAAGAAAAAAATATTAACTTAATTAATAATTTAAGTATGAAAATTAAAATTTTACTTTGAAAAGCATTGAAAAACTGTGCAAATATTTCTAGAAAACCTAAATATGAAAATGTTCGGTTTGATCGTATATACTGTTGGCGTCTTGTATTGATTACATAGCTTAAGTACAATTATATACACTGTCCCTTCAACATCAGTACGTATACTAATGCTAGCTTAAATTAAACTACTCAACATATTTATGGCACGCCAAAATCATAAAAATGAGCTAAACATAGTTTCACAGTTGATAAACTAGGTTTATAGACTGTAAACTTAATCCCGGTAGTTTACAAACCGTGAACTATAGTTAACAATTCGTTACCTATAGTTTTCATCTGTAAAACTATATTTAACAGTTGTTAACTATAGTCTTCAAATGCTAATCTAAGTTTATCTGTCTGTAATAAAACGTTAACAACAGATTTTGTTGATAAACATAAATTCACTTCTGTAAACTAAAATTTACAATCGTGAACTATATTTAAGGTTTAAGGTTAAGGTTATAGTTTCACAAATCGTGAAACTATATCAGGATCGTCAACTGTTGTTAAGTATGGCACGCCAAATTCACAAAAATGAGCTTAGCATAATTTCACAGTCGATAAACTAGATTTGTCGGTTGTAAACTATAGTTTACGGACTGTAAACTATATAGTTAACAACATTAATCTATATTTTACATCTGTAAACCATAGTTAACGCGGTTATTAATGTTTCAGAATCGTAAACTATAGATATGCAAAACATAGATTATCTGATAAATACAGTTTCACGATTTGTAAACTATGGTTTACAACTCTTAACTATAGTTGATGATCTGGTAAATTTAGTTTCAGATTTGTGAAATTATGATTAACTATAGTTTACGATTGTAATTGTAATTATAGTTTACAGACGTGAATCTATGTTTATCAACAAAATCTATTATTTTTATTACAGACCGATAAACTTAGATTAGCATTCGTAAACTATAGTTAACTAACGTTAAATATAGTTTTACAGATGAAAACTATAGTTACGAATTGTTAACTATAGTTCACGGTTTGTAAACTATAGTTTACAGTCGATAAACCTAGTTTACACAGTATCACAAATGATAAACTAGGTTTATCGACTGTAAACTATAGTTTACAACCGATAAACCTAGTTTATCGACTGTGAAACTATGTTTAGCTCATTTTTGTGAATTTGGCGTGCCACACATATTGGTATTAAAGAAGATGGGAGAACAAGGTGTGCATAATGCCAATAGCTTTAGATATTAAGAAATCATATTCAATTTGTGAATTGAGTATTTAAATTAAGTTCTCATTATTGAAATTTATGAAATTATAAGAAACAAACCTTTTCCGAGAGAAAAGAAAATCTTGGAAAAGATTATTTTTAAATATAAGATGGAATTCGTGGGATTCGAACTCTAGCAATAAAAATCAGGAGTATGATACTGCTTTGAGACTAACGCACTAACCACTACGCTAGATGGCTGATATGGCCCTTAACTTAATGGACTTGAAGTATTTCTTGGAAAGATGCGAATCATCGTCGCAAACCACGGCCAAAATGTACGCTCCTCTCCCATCTGGCCGTGGTTGAACGAGGAGAGAATTCTTCGTAGCTCATTAAGATATTGACCAATGCGAGTAAGGCCGCTGCATTTCATTTCCGGAAATATGCATAGCATTTCCGACATTTTTAAATTTCATTTCCGACATTTTTTGTTTTCATTTCCGACATAATTTTCTTTTCATTTCCGGAATTTACCTGTGCGGCAAATCAATGTTTTTTAAGTAAAAGAAAATGGAATTTTTAAAGTTTTTATACCAGAATATTGATACAAAATTAAAAAAAAAATAACTTTACATATATGCATATATGTAGCGCAAAGTCTAAGTAAAAGTTTTCAATGAGCATAAAACTTTGTCACTACATTTAATGTGCTCTAAATTAAACATCAGTGACAGCACCATACTTATGTCCAAGTCACTGATAGATTTACAAAATTGGATTTCAATGATTTATTTATGATTTAATCCTTTGAATTGTTCATAAGTAAAGTTATCAAATCTATTACTATAGGTACTACATATGTATTTGAAAAATGTCGGAAATGAAAACAAAAAAAAAAATGTCGGAAATGAAAACTAAAAAATGATGGAAATGAAAAGTTGATAATTACCAAAAATTCCGGAAATGAAATGCAGCCAGTAAAGCATAGTCGGATGATGAACTTTATCGCGACCCTTCAATATCCAATCGCAGTATAGGAAATATTTCTTGTTTAATGTTGACGTCAGTTGTTGATTTCGATTGCGATGGAAACAAAACTTGCCATTGACTAAATATGACAATAGAGAGGCGTAAATATTCAAGATTACGACACTTTTTGTGATCATGCAGCCACGGGTAGGAGAGAGCTATATATGCGGACTCCGGACCGTGGCTTGAGACGATGGATGCGAATGTTATATGTCATAAAAGTGTACTTTTAAGGTATAGTGGGTCTTTGCTCCATGTTTTTGTAAACCAAACAATTTATATTTTATAGCAAACTTTTAGGATTTTCTTTCAAAGAAATGGAGCAAAGACCCACTCATGTTGAAACATTTTGTTAAAATATGAGAAAATGACCCTTTTTGTCATCTTGCGTGTGCGTATGCTTTTTTCATAAGCAAATAATATCAGTTTTTGAGAGATTTTTGTAAATTATAGAGATTTTACATTAAGTATACTTTAGTGTTTGTTGAAATATTATAGAAAATATGGATATAAATGAGATTTAATTTTTCATCTCATATTTGTCGCACTATAGGCACTTCGTCCGCTCCTTATTCTCCCATCTTCTTTTATCATTAAAATGAAAAATTATGCGGGGTAATTTATATGTTGATATAGTAACAATGTTGTTAAATATCTATAACATTAGGTTGATCGTTTCACCAAAATTGATCTAATGAATTTTTTTAATACATCGTATTTTATGTACATTATTTCGAACACATTTATATTCTCGAAGTAGGTACATGTAAATATGTATTTGTGTTTTTAAAATAATTATTGGCTTGTAAGCCAAATGTTGCTCATACATTCATTTTATATTTCTTTACACTGAAAGCGGATACTCAAACTTAGTTTTATTAGGTTTCTCTTGTATTTGTTTGAAGTAAACAGATAACACTTTTAATTTTTTTTTCTTTAAAAACATTGCTCTCATCACTTTCATAGCTAAATGATAACAACTTTTTTTGAATTAAAAAAAACTCTCAGTAGTATTGAAATATCTATTGCTGACCAATAAAACATTTACTTCCTATTTTGAAGTGATGGAAAAAATATACATGTATTTCCAATCCTCTGCTAACTTCATGGCAAAAGTACATCACCAAGGTTACTGGTTACTGGTAAAATCACAAACCTATCCAGAAAAACATTTCAAATGTCACATTTTTTTCAAGGAAAAGAAAAAGAAATAATTAAGTTGAAAAATTACGTAATTCATCTAATCTATATGTACTGTTAACAGAAAAACATTTGCTCCTGTGCTGAGTAGATAAAACTGTGATAACATTTCAAAGGGCTTTCATTCAATTATGTTGAGCTACTTGAATCAAATTTCTGTAAAGTTATATTTATTTTTCGTTTATTATTTCTAATTGCAGCTGATCACACTTGATCAAAGCAGACAGTACCACATGACTGGTTTATAATAGAACCAGATCGTACTACATTTGACGGCAGGGAAAACTGCGCAGCTGAGGCAGCGAATAATCGGCACCAAACACCTGATTCCTGACTCAAACCAGCGAAAAAGACAAAGGAATAAACTTTCTGATGGTGTTACATGAAACAAAGAAATTCCTGACGGGCGCATCCTAGCAATTTTGTACGTTTCATGTTACTAAATTTTAGTAATATAGGCATGCGATTTACATAGGTATCTAACAGGAATAATACCACTCCAAAGGAGAAATGAGAAGGTTGTGCAGCGTTTTCTAATTTGATTTGGACTGACCCTTATATGTACATGTATTAAAGCTTAGTAAAATGTTCTAAATATAAATGAAAAATACATCTTATGGTCAAAATGTGTTACAAAATTGTATATCTTTTGGACAATGTTCATCAGAGCTTTTATTTCAATTACTCATGGAAACCCTCAAAAGTGAAAACTATTGTTGAAATGCCTTAAAAAAAGATCTTGAGGATGCCACATTTCTTGTTTTGTTTACAGAACTTTGTTTTCTAGCTGCTTACCATCCATAATGATGATTGCTGTATATTTTGTTGTGGGAAGGTCAACTACTATGTATTATTTCACTACATTGCAAAGTTAAGTACACTGTATGTAAAATAACAACAAAAAGTCTAGAAAAAAAATTTATTTGATTATTTTTCATGTAACAAAAACATTTTAAGATTGTACATCATATAAGCGATGAATGCACTGAAAAAGTAAAATTAAAGCTCTATAATAATGTTGTGAATTAATCAATGTCATTTTAAAATATAAATTTCTATAACCCCTAATGTAAACATCATATAAAGATTATAAATATCAAATAGATTTTGCATATACAATCAAAAGAATAGTCAAAAAAGGAATAACAAGTATTTTCAGATTTTTGTAATAAATAATAAATGTTAATAACCCCTCCAAGTTCTGAATTATTATACTCAGAAATGACAAACATGTCTTTCACCTAACACTGAATAAGTTTTTTTAATAAGTAGATACAGTACAGAACATGATATTCTTTTCATAATTATAACATTAAATACATGTACACATAAAATTATATAAAGCATCAACAATGCACAATACTAAATACTTCTAAATATCAAAGCATAATACCGGTATTAAGCTTACGGATAACGCATAGTGTTGTTAGGTACTTAATACCCCCAAAATCAACAATAAAAAAAATGAATTCTCAGCTACTGCATCATCAGTATATGATGTACAACTTCATTTCATTTGATAAGTTCATTTTTTCTTTAGTTACTTTGATGTTTAAGAATTCTTCTGTGGAATTTTTATTACAACCTGAAATAATATTAAATTTCAATTAAGTTTAAGCAAGTGATGGCTACATGTAGACTACAAAGACATATTACTTTTCTTGGAATTTTATTCATCACATATAAGTAAGAGGAATAGTTTATAATCTAAATACACAATCCTATTTCTATTATGCCAGAAATCAACATTCTCAAAAGCATTGTGATTTGATGAATGGTAACCATGACAACTTACAGATTTGACTTCTGTGTAGGCCTCTAGTCCATATTCCCCAAGTTCGCGGCCATTACCAGACATCTTATAACCTCCAAAAGGCATGGAGGCATCAAACACATCAAAACAGTTTACCCTAACACAAAAACAAAATCAAAATTTGACATGATATTTATATGTATATATATATATATATATTGCCACTGATTTATTTGAAAGAAAACCTGCAACAAACTGAATTACTGACATAAATGTGAACATCTTTACCCTAAATTTGAATGTTACATCAGTTCAAGAGCTGGGAAATAGGTAAGAGAGCATCCCCCTCCTAACCCAGATCCCTGGAATCTTTGAGACTACCTACCAGACAGTCCCTGCCCTCACTGTATTGGCCACATAGAGTGCCTTCTCCAGATCAGTGGTGTGGACTGCAGCAGCCAGACCATAGATTGTCTTGTGACATCGCTCAATCAGCTCATCCATGGATTTAAACTTCAGAATTGATTGCACTGGACCAAAAATCTGTAAATATTTTTTTAATCTTTATTCGACCTGCCACTTCACTGTTTGTCAGTATATCAATCATTTTATATTCCATGCAATATCTGAACATAAATTGAGTGTATAAACCTCTTCCTGGGCAATTTTCATGTCATCCTGTACATCAGCGAATACTGTGGGCTCAATGTAGTACCCCTTGTCCCCCTTTCTGTTGCCCCCTGCCACAAGCTTTGCTCCCTGGTCTTTTCCGCTCTTGATGTATGACATGATCTTCTCTGTCTGCTCCTTGTCCACCTAAGAAATAAAACGAAAGGCCCATAGGTCACAATGCTCACCTGTTGTCTTCATCTTCCTGAGAAGGAAGAAACTTCATTTGTGGACCTCAACATAAATAATAATTCATGATTCCATTCACTTTAAATTACAGTTAAGAGACATTATGTCAAAGTTACAAAATGTAGACACGTTAAATTTGCCAAGTTTATGTTTTCTTTACATAAAAACTTTGTTCTTCTCAATCTGCTGTGGCAAAACCTTAGAATCAAGATATTACAAGAAGAAACTTGAATCTGGACTATTGACTTATCATTGAACACAACCTTGATGTACAATGACATACATGAAGGTGCTGCACACTGACTAAATATTGAAAGATTATGAATCTATAAAATTGCTTTTGAGATGAAGACTTTTACTAACAGTACTCTTCCTAAATAACTCATTTACCTCTTTAACCCCTGATATATTGGGAGTATACTGTACTACATGTATTTGTATGGGCTACCTGTGGTCCCTGCTCATTAGACGCATCAAATGGGTCCCCTACAGTCCTCTTTTTTGCTCTCTCGGCACTCTTAGCTACAAATTCATCGTAGATTTTCTCCTCCACAAAGGTGCGGGAACCAGCACAGCAACACTGTCCTTGGTTGAAGTACAGAGCAAAGTGGGACATCTCTACTGCCATATCCACTGAAAAGGAAATATTTCAAGTTGTATCAGCTTTATCATGTACTACTTTAAAAGTCACAAATAAGAAGTGGAAGTCTTCAGAAAATTATAACTCAGTCGATTAAGTCTTCATTTGACAAAGGATTTTTAAAAATGTCTTATGACTGTCAAACTTTCTAGTGGTTAACTTTTTAGCTGTAAGAGGCTATAGATTGATGTGTCATGATCAGTATGTCTTTTAAAACTTTTTGTTATCAGAGTTGTTTCCCTTTGAATGCTTTTTACTTACAATCAGCATCAGCCATGACAATGTTGGGACTCTTCCCCCCGAGCTCCAGGGTGACTCTCTTCAGGTTAGATTGTGCTGCTGCCTGAGCCACTATCTGTCCAACCTGTCAATTCAATCAATACAGTGTGTTATATGTACAGAGCTACTACTGTCATAGTTAGAAAACCGAGGGCAATGTACTTTATCATCAGTCAAAAGCAACTTTCTGTTCCTGACTACATGTTTTCATAATATACAGTCTACAATAGGACAGCTTACCTCTGTGGAGCCAGTAAAGGCCAACTTGTCCACACCCATGTGACTGGCAATGGCACCCCCTGCTGTAGGACCGTAACCAGGAATAATGTTAAGAACACCAGGGGGAAATCCAGCCTAAACCCAAAACAAAAACACTTCATAAATCAATGTTTTAAATATAATTTTTATTTTTGTAGGCCTTTTGTTTTAATCCTTATTTTTAAATAGAACAATTTTAAAAAAACAAAAGGATATATTTTGCATCAGAATTTTTTAAGCATCATGTTTTTCTAGTGAATCAGACTATTCAAGTGCATACCTGGTATAATACTTAAAGTTATAGTCTGATTGACATGGATAAAGTAAATACACTCTCTCTCCCAAATCCACATAGTATATCATATACAATTGATAAGAAATACATACATGTATAACTGCTGAGTCCCTTACCGACACCTACCTCTCTGGCCAGGTGAGCTATATATAGAGCTGACAGGGGTGTCTGTTCTGCGACCTTCATCACCACTACATTACCGCAGGCCAGGGCTGGGCCAAGCTTCCAGGCCTGCATCAACAGTGGGAAGTTCCACTAAAGAAAACAACATTATACTGAACTAAGACAGTCAATGAAAATCAGGTTTAAACTACTCATTCAATAAAGATTTTTATCTTAAACTGTTCAGAAAGATTAAAAACACAAATGTACATTTAAGTACACTGGATTTTTGCCTGTTTCTTCTTCATATAAAATTCTCTTTTCGGTTTGTATTTTAAAACATAAAAGAAAAAAAAATTGAAATTGATGCAATTTTAGTCAAATTTATAAAATGATGTATTCTGATAAAATCAAGCAACCATAAAACTATCACTTATCCTTGTAAATTTATTAAAATCCAATTTTACACAATTTAAACATCATAATTCTGTGTTTATGCATGGCATACAGTTTCATTTTTCTGTTTCCCATACATTAAGGCTGCCATTTAAATTCAAATAAACATAGTACAAAAAGCTTTAAATGTCTCCATCAAAAGAAGAATTTAACCTACTGGAATAATCTGTCCACAAACCCCTACAGGTTCATGTCTGGTATAGGCAAAGTAATCACCAGCTGAAAAATAATTATAAATTTTACTCATAAGAGTTTGCAAGGACTAGGAGATAAACAAACACAAGAGGCCCATGGGCCTTAATAGTCACCTGAGAATAATGCAACAACTTTCAAACGATTGAATTTGGTTCATGTTTTAAGGTAGATGCTATGGCATTCTTAATTTTGAAAGAGGCTGGCACCATTGCTAATCATAAAACTAAACTTAGTAATTGCTTAGTTTGGTTACTTAAAGGGGCTGGGTGGTCGTTGCCATTGTTAGACTATTTCGATCTCCTTTAGGAGAAGATCTCCATATAAAGATATACCAAAATAATCAAATTTTAAAACTGATATGTATGAAATTTTTTTGTCAAATGATAGTTGACAGCTAAAGATATCATATCTAAAAATTTAAGTTATATCTGGTGGTTAATTTGTTTTTAATTTGTTGACTCCCAAGCCTCCTTGATACCCAGTTGCTTAGTTTGGTTACTTAATACCCATAGGCAGGGTAGGGGAACAAAACATGCAAATCAACTAATCAGTAATATTCAGCAATAATCAGAAGTGCCTCTATCACACATGAACCCCTGACCCTAGGTCCACACATTGCACAATTTTTGAAAAGGCACCCTTGCTTATCAAAAATGTTTGATTAATACCAAGGAGCAGATTTCAAACAATTCATTTTCAGTATATAAGTCAAAAATCCCTGACCCAGGGGCCTGGAAATTCACAATTCTAGAAGAAGAGCCTTGTACATCATAACTATATAGGTAGTTCATTTGCTTATTACACAGGGGCAGAGAAGAAGATTTTCAAAGAATTAATGTATTTCCACTATATAATCATTATAGAGCACCACCCTAACACCAGAACCCCTGACCCTGGGGTCATGAAATTCACAATTTTGGTAGAAGCATTCTTGCTCATCATAGCTATGTTCTTAGTTAGTTTACTTAATACCTAGGAGCACAGAAAAAGATTTTCAAAGAATTAATGCATTTTTCACTATATAATAAATAGTGCCCTACCCAACACCAGAACCACTGACCCTGGGGCCATAAAATTCACAATTTTATAAGAAGCACTCTTACTTATCATAGCTATGTACTTAGTTATTTCAAATGATACCCAAAAGCAGAGAAGAAGATTGTCAAAGAATTAAAGCATTTTCACTATGTAATCAATGGAGCCCCGCCCTAACACCAGAACCCCTGACCCTGGGGCCCTAAAATTCACAATTTTAAAAGAGGCACTCTTGCTCATCATAACTATGTACTTTGTTAGTTTATTTGATACTCAGGAGCAGAGAAGAAGATTTTCAAAGAATTAATGCATTCTCACTATATAATCAATGGAGCCCCGCTCTAACACCAGAACCCCTGACCCTGGGGCCCTAAAAATCACAATTTAGGTAGAGGCACTCTTGCTCATTATAACTATGTACTTCGTTAGTTTATTTGATACTCAGGAGCAGAGAAGAAGATTTTCAAAGAAATAATGCATTTTCAATATATAATCAATATAGCCCCGCCCTAGCACCAGAACCCCTGACCCTGGGGCCATTAATTTCACAATTTTGGTAGAGGACTCAATGCTGATAGCAATCATGCCAACAGTTTGACTGCTTGATGTCTAGTAGTAAAGAAGAAGGTTTTTAAAGATTGCACTAATTTTAGTGGTTTTGGCCCCACCCCCCAGGCCCAAGGGGGGCAGGGACCATGAAATTCACAATTTTTGTTTCTCTTCACCCATAGATGCTATATGCTAAAATTGGATGAAATTGGTTGAGTGGTTTCAGAGAAGAAGCTGAAAATGTTCAAATGTTAACGCACGACGAACGACGCACGACGAACGACGACGGACGAAAACAGATAGCAGTAGGTCACCTGAGTTAACTCAGGTGACCTAATAAAGTGGAAAAGACTGAAGGCCTCAGATACAAGAATGCAAGGACAGACGGATGACTACAGACAGACAGCAGAAAAATTTGATACAAACCAACTGGGACAGTTTTTCCCTCGTTTTTGTCGGCCCAGCCTGCGTAGTATCGGTAACATTTGATGACCAGATTGAGATCTGCAGCATATGCCACATGGTATGGTTTACCATTGTCAAGGGTCTCCAGAGACTAAAAAATAAAGACAATTAAATCACAAAAATTCAATACCTAAAATACTATAGTATGAGTTTCTTACCTTGACCTTTGACCAATTAGCTATAGCCTCAAATAAATTTGACTTTTCTAGATCGAGTCAAACATGTAAAAACATGTGATCAAAAAATTTCATAACAAAAGTTTTAAAGGCTTTTTGAGAAATCAACGGGAAAAAAAGTGTTACACATACAAAATGTATGAAATTTCTGACCTTGTCTTTTCACTTCAAAATCAACAGTTACCTTTAATATGGGTCACAAGGAGTTTTATCATATTGAACAGACTCAAAGAAATCTGAAATTTTATCAAAAATGTATTATTTGCAACATATGAATTTATGACCTTGACCTTTGACCTTTTGATGTTAAAATTAAAAAGGGGCTTTTTGATGGCCCAAATAAGAATTATGTTATTAAAATTCATAAGCTCAAAAGCTTTTTAAAATATTTTCTGGAACCAAAGTGTTACAAAAAGACAAAATGTGTGAATTTTTGCATGGCCTTGACTTTTGACTTTTTGATTTTCAAAGAAATAGGGCTTTTCTTCAGGTCAAGCGGTGCTGTGATATAATATTTACAGCAAAAACTTGATGGCTTTTTGAGATATTGTCAGGGAAAAAATGTATTACACAGTTGGATGGATGGACATGCAGATCCAAATGAATATACCCCCTACTGTCAGTGAATGTTGGGAATAAAACCCTTAAATGAAAAAACGGAGAACCTTTTAGAGATTTGCAGGGATGGATATCTAAACATAATTGTATGTAGCCAAGGAACATTGAGCAGTCAAGTGTAACTGTTAAGCTTAAATCTGCTTTTATTCCCCAACAGTTGTCCATAAATGGAGGGGTATGAATCTTTTAAAGTCTTTTGTAATAGAATCAGTTTTAAAAATACTGGTATATTGTAATTTTCTCTGAGGGTGGACAGGTAGAATGATTTGGATTTAAATTTTCAATGCTTTAACATTGAGTTCATACAGCTGGGCGGACACTTTGGTATCCAACATGCAGTTTTTCACTCGGCTGGAAAAGTATAGTAAATAAACAAAATTTCCAATAGTCAAAAGAAAAGAATCTTCATAATCTACAATCTAACTTGTGTACCTGATTGATGATTTTTCAAGTACGTAACAACTTGCTAGACAAGTGATCTGAAGTTCTGCAGCATGTAACATGTGCAAGATTAACTACAAAGGTAGCCAGGATTTTGTTAAATCCTGATAATTTATGAAAGATAAATCAATTACAGTGATATACTGTCTATCTCTTTCGATGAGGTCTGCCAGTTTATTCAAAAGATATCCTCTTTCTGCAGCATCCATTCGTCGCCATGGTGACCCCAATCTAAAAGCATCCTGTGCAGCTTTCACTGCGATGTCCACATCTTTCTACAAGCAGACAATGGTAGTCATAAATACACAACAAAACATGCATCAGTCAATTATTCTGCAAGCATTGTTTGTTTTCAATCATATCACTTATTTCTTTCCCTATAGTACATCAACAGCTGTATACACCAGGGCCTCAACAAATATGTATAAATTGTTTGACAAGGAAACAAATAGATCTTAAAATTAAAATCAGTTTAAAGCTACTCAACAGTGTGTCTTTATCTGTGAGGAAAACACCGATTTCCTGCTCTGCACCTCTCTTATCTAGTTATTAAATCATTTAATACAAACTCAGGCATCCTTTATTGACAAACTACATTTTTTAAATTACCTACTTCACTTACATAAGCAGTTATAAATCATATTCATAAATGATGTAAGGCTAAGCTCTGTCTCCTTACTTTTATTTCAATGTTTATGAAGAGGGAAAGGGGGGTGTGAAATGTAAACCTTTTTACACAATTTGCTTGTTAGAAAGGCCCGTAAAGTTGAGATTGATTCAGTATAATAAGCATGTTAAGCATAAGCTACCAATGCTTTTCTGTTCATAGTTATACTTGTAAGGTCATAGCCTCAACATGATATAGACAAACAAACAAACAAAACAGTAGACCTTGATTCCGTTATTATGCATATCTAAAAGCTTTGTTTGCACATGCAAGTATTAAAATTTTAAACCCCATTTGGAAGAAACAAGTTAGATCTAATTTGTTAAATTATAACATTTGTATAAACTTATAAATTGATCCATACATGAAAACTTAATACAAAGGGATAATTTTAAGACATGTAAAATAACATGACTTCTAAGGGACTGCCAAAAATCACAGGCTTCAATAATGAGAAGTGTTGTAATTAAATTTAAACCCCATGCAGAAACACAAACAAACATGCAGTTTTGCCAAAAATAAAATACAAAAGGACCTTGAAATGGTTAAATTTAAATGGTGCATGAAGATATTCCCACTAAAATTTTATAGTGTGCAGTACAGCAGCACGCAGTGCATTTAATTATACATGTAATAGAAAACAGGTGAGCTGTGAACATGTTCTAATAATAGATTTTTATACATTTCTATTCATAGCCAGCCCCCCCCCCCCCCCTTTCACTGCGTGATATAGCATTGAAAACAATAAGGACCATAAAAAATTATTAAAACATATACAAACCAAAAAAGAATTCCCTTTTCTCTTTAAGTGAACATTACATGAGGAGGACATGGTCAATTTATCAATTAACTTCACAAAAGAGAAATTAAAGAGAAAAATTCCAAGGAATTTATTGTAAAAGATCCAAATTTGTAAAAAATGATGCTCGATGACCATGCAGAATTTGGGCAACAGTTTTTATTGTGGATTACATGTAACTATGTACTTATGTGTAACTGTAACTCATAATGGTCCCATTTTGATCAATCCAGACACACTGTGTTAACTTCACTATTAGTATACCTTCATGGTTCCTCTTCACCTTAATTAAGGTACATTAAGTGGCATATAGCAACAATTTTAATTGTGGAAGGGGGGATGAAGGACCTGAAATTAAAATCCTGGACCCTCTGCTTTCCTGTGGACACCAGATAATTTTATAACCAATCAAAAAAAAAACTGGCTTGATCCACTTGCAAGCATTAATTATTCTCGTTTTCAGGATTCAATATACATTTTTGGTGAAAATTAACATAATTATTATATATATACTTATGCATATTTGATATATAAGAAACAGTATACATTTCTATATATCCATTTCATACTGTGATGCTATAATTTAAAATCATTGCTATTAAACCCGCAACAGCCCTCGGGGAATAGTTTTGTGTGAAGGGTTTGTAAAATCAAGAGCTATCCCACTCACAAACAGTGGATAAAGCGTTTTATTATACTGATATATAACATAATTTCTGAGGTTTGAATTTTAAAAATGTTTGAGTAAGATATATACTGCAAGAATAATCTGAAATTTTCCTCTGTAGTATCATTATGATGAGAGATCACAATGCTACTGAAGTCATTATGACATCATCATGCATTGTTTTTGTGATTGCAGATTTATCGCTGGAAATCAAAATTGGAGGCAAAGATTGCATGAAAATTTTCCAAGGGTGGATAGTAAAAATTTTTATCCCGGTTATAGCTTTGTATGCATGAACTATAAAAGATAGCTATTTTACCTTCTGAACTTTATGTAGGAAACATTTTAACAGAAGTATAATAAACTGCTTTATCCATTTCATACTGTGATACAATAATTTAAAATCATAGCTATTAAATTACACCCAAAGACAAGTGCAAACTGATCAGGCAAATTGTTTAGGAATTTTTTAAAGTTTTGTGTGAGTTATTGGTGTGTAAAATCATATGGCATATTTCATGAAGCGCACCAGTATTTGTCACACTTTTTTATTATGTCTCTGATTTCTTGTCTTAATTGATTTCTTTATATCTATGTAAAATTAATGCATGTATTTATTATTATAATGCACATATTAAAAAGCAAATTTCTGTTGGCTGAAGGAACATATCATCAACTACTGAACTAGATATTTTGTTTCTAAATTCAATGAGTTTTTTTTTCTTCTGAATTTTTTTATATTACTTTTAATTTTATTGCATGAAAATACACTGTTTGAAATCCATAAAATGAAGCAACCATAAACAAATTATTAACATGTAGGGGTCTTTAAATGGTCACATTAACATATTTAAAAACTGATCTACAGCAGATGTGTTATATATTACTGAGAATCATCAATAACTCGCACATCAAAAGATCTTAAATGTGACAAACAGCTGATATAAAAACTACAAAATATCACTTGGTTAAGAAACTGACAGGGCTTAATGTTCTTTTTGTAAATCATAAATATCTCCTTGGTTAGTGAACCATGCTGGACATTGCTTGATGATATATTGTAGCATTGCAAGTCACTGTCCATTCTGAAATGATGATTTTGAAATAATTTTTAAAAAATCAAGGTCCATGCAGAGCATATTGAAAACTGCATGTACCTGACAATTAATATGTAGAAATTTACCTTATCCCCCTCTGCAACCTGGCAAATTATCTCCCCTGTTGCTGGATTAATAGTAGGAAAAGTCTTCCCTGATTGGCTGTCGATGAATTCATTGTTGACAAAAACCTAGAGAAAGATTATGTTTAATTACTGATACCTGCAGCTAAAATCCTCTCTTAATATGAAAGTTCTTCACTGTACATGCACTTATCTCTGCAGAAATTATTTAAAGATAATCAAGATGTGTTTGTGAAACACTGATGCCCCCATATGGCAGCTTATGGCAAGAGTTGAGGGTTTCTTACATGCAAGTCAAACTCCAAAGGTCAAGGTCAAAAGTCAAATGATGGAAGGTCTTGTCACAAGGAATACACTTGTGAAATATGAAAGGCCTAGTTCTACTGTTCAGAAGTTATGACCAAGGTTAATTTTCTTAAGTGGGTCAAACTCAAAGGTCAAGGTCAAAAGGTCAAATATATTTATATCAAAGGTCTTGTCATGTAGTGAATACATATTTGAAGTATGAAAGTCCTAGCACCAACTTTTCAAAAGTCACGGCGAAGATTAAAGTTTGGTACTTTTTTGTTAAAGTGGGTCAAACTCCAAGGTCAAGAGGTCAATTTGATAGTAACCAAAGATGATCATGTCACAAGGAATACACCTTTGAAATATGAAAGCCATAACCCCACCCACTCAAAAGTTATGAGGAAAGTTACAGACAGACAGATGGATAAACAGGGCAAAAACTATATTCTCCCAAATCTTTGATTGCAGGGGCATATAAGAGATTTTATAAAATCTAGTATTTGGAAAAGGTGTGGCAAAAACATAACTAAGAGCTTTTTAAGTTACCATGGTTACTCAACCAGACCAGTACCAGTATGTAACTCTTAATTTCTCATTTAAGAATTACTGTGAAATCATTAATTTTCATGGAGGTTTAATGTTCATGGTTTTTAAGGTATGAAGACACCCACAAATTTATGTGCACCACAAAATGCAATTTTTCACATTTATTACTACTGAACAATTCTTTAACCACGAAATCAAATCCTCATGAACAAATATATTTTCCTTAAACCATGAAAATTTGACCCCTCGAAAATATGTGATTCTACAGTATTCAGTAATTTTTTTCTAATTGGTTTATGAACAAACACAGATTAGACATTATATTCTTTACTCCTGTATATTACCTTAAAAATCACAAAATAGATTTCAGATGAATTTTTTTAAAAAGTAGCCTGTATCATACTTATTATTAGAAAATTTCCATGTAAAACACTTTCAAATTGTTTAAAATTCAAGGCCAGATATTTAAACAATTATAAACATACACATACAAGTTTTGATTTCTATAGGACAAGGAAGGTATGAAACAGGAAACTGTGTCATATATACATATCTACTTCCCTATATAAAATCTGTGTACTTCTTTTCTTGAAATTTAATCAAAAAAATATTTTTAAAATTCTAAAACAACTTTACACCCTGCAAAATACCAAAAAAAGAATATTGAATTCATTTATTTTTTAACAACTTTGTCCCTGCCAAACAAAGAAACGACAAAATGTCCCCACTGGCAGATTTTGTGATTTAAAATACATATAAAATTAATGAATCCTTTTTTTTCTTTGGTTGTTTGAAATTTCACTTGTAATCATGGTAATATAAAGCTTATAGAACATACTCTAAACTCCTGAACCTGAAATAGCTCACAGGGACCCAACCAGATCGAGCCTTGCCCTGCACCTCAAGGCATAAATATACATGTACCACCCAGACCTTCAATTTGTCCCCCTCTCTTCTCAAATTAAAAATTCCTGTTTCTGCCGCTGCTTCCAAAAATGGTAAATTCTGAAGCTGACAGCTAGCTATTGACTCTTTCAGTTTTATAAGAAAATCATATTTCCATTATATTTTACATGGTGTAATGGACAGAGGTGACCTATTTCCATCTCTCCCTCCTGCAAACTTCTCTTCTCCCTCCTAATTTTCCCCCTCTCCTCTAAGACCTGGTCCACCCAATATTCCCATTTTACCCTCCCCTGTTTCCTTCATCAAAGTACTCTTGTATGTACAATTAAACTAACTTGAACATTTTTTTCCTTAACCTAGAGTCATCTAAACATGATGAAGTTTAAAGTCTAAAAAATTGATTTATATATATATATACATGTATAATACATGCACGTATATCTTCATGTTAAATTGTACCGTGGCATCCCCTAGTAATGGGGTTTTCAAGTATGGGGAAAAAGTTGGGTTTTTTTGGTTTTGGGTTGTTTTTTTTTGTTTTTTTGAATGTTTTTGTTTTGTTTTATTATTATTTTTTTCTTGTCAAGAAATTTCTGGGTTTTTACATTTTTTATGTTGACTGGGGTGGACCAACACCCCCCCCCCCTCCCTCCCCTGGATCCGTGCCTGAACCATATCAAATTGCAAACAGAATGTATTGGACAGAGTATTCTAAAAGTTTAATTAAACTGACTGTCCTATTCAAGTTCATTTCAACTACGCATGTAAACAGATATGCAGATCCATATGTACCTATATTATACATATGTGTAATAAATGTATATATTGATTTCTGAAATGACTTTCTACAGTGAAATATTTATGTCTTCTATATTTCTTCCATAAGAATAGTAAGTAGACCAAATTGCAGGTAAGTCGTTTACACTATTGTTTCTATAAATGACATGTCTAAGCCTTATCACATACCTTGTTGTACTTGACTTCGGGGTTCACTATTGGTTGTGGAATGGATGACATGCATGCTGCATTGTTTCTAAGGGCAGTATACAGGGTCCTAGCCCTAAGTCCAGTTCTCAGAAGCGCCATTTCTTAATTCTTACCACAAAACGTGAGGAGATAGCCGGATACAATATTCACGATAACGCAGTTTGCAAACAAAATTAAGGTCAGCCACTCGGAACACCTCGGTATTCTCGTTGAATGTGGGTGTGAATAATCAATGAAATGCATGACTAGTTTTCTTTTTAATTTAACAAACAAACCAATTAAGAAAAAACCGGGTAGGCTCATTTTTAACCAGATAAAAAAAAATAATTTTCTCGTTATCTCGTAATCAATGGGTATCTTTTAAGAGTCTGTTAAGGTCAAGATCTAGTAAATAACTTTAGACTAATGATCCATTATGACGTCATAATCAATTTCAACTTTCCTTTTCCCGTACTTTACGACTTTAGCAGAATTATGTAGAAAATAGGGTATTTTCATGACATTCAATTTGAAATCATATGAAAAGTAAACTGGATACCTATATTAAATTTGATATTGATTTAAGAATTAAGAGGCCATGAACATACTATAATTACCGTTTTTTGAGAGACTGTAGGCAATCTGGATACATTTCCTTTGTCGAATATAAAAAAAACTCCCACATTTATGACTGGTTTTCTTAAGTTTTCATTGAAAATGACAGTTTAAAATACAGTTTTTCATGTGTCTTGTTTACCTACAAAACTATGCCCTCGAAATTTTACCTTATTTAACCAAGCTAAAGTTGCAAAGCATCAATAAGGGAATTTATTTCTCAAGTTTGATAAATCTGTAGGCACCTTTCATTTACTAGATCTTGACCTTAATCGTATGATTTTTAGTGAAATGTTAAATTTTTCCCCCAAAATCTTTCATGCCTCTCTGTATGGGGGCCCTAATTTTGATCTATGAAAAATTGTGATGTTACCAAGTTTTTGTAATTATTTCAGTTTTCATTTTATTTTCCTGGAATTCTTTGGATTTCCATAGATTTCCAAATATCTTGGAATTCCATGGATTTCCAGCTTTTCCCTAAGACTCTATTCTGAGAAATGTTCCGCTCTTTTCCAGGCTAGATTTGAAAAAAGTTCCGTCCCAATAAAAGTCACTTAATATACATGTCCTATTTGTGAACATATACATGTATGCATGCATATCCGTACTTGTACTGTGATAAAAGGATCAACATGCATGCAGTGATCAAGTGCATATTCCGGCTAGTTTTATTATTAGCTCTTTGTTTGTCAAATCATTTCATACAGTGCTGCTCTGAATTTTATCAATAACATTTCCACTTTAGGTTAACCATTTAGTATATTAATAATGTCATTTTAAAGTAGGTTAATGATTAATATATTAACAAAATACGAACTTGAAGCGGGGGTGCCTGAAATTGAGTTAGGTAGCTTTTGGTTAATATAAGTAGGGGATACCAATCCACGCCAAATTCACAAAAATGAGATAAACCTAGTTTCACAATTGATAAACTAGGTTTATCGACTGTAAACTATAGTTTACAAACCGTAAACTATAGTTAACGATTCGTTAAGTATAGTTTTCATCTGTAAAACTATATTTAACGGTCGTTAACTATAGTTTACGAATGCTAATCTAGAGCAGATTTCAAAACCCCTAAAGGATTACACTGTTTGTGACGAGCTGACGCTTTGCTTGTCGAGAACTTTAAATACTACGTCACATTCTCGCCACATCAAAGGAAGTAGCCGAGATCGCGTCTCTCCCACGCTAAAGTCGGTCAGCTGCAACATACAGCTTGTTTTCGGGGTTCAAAAAATGGAGTAGACAGTCCCGATGTCGTTTTCTTGAATGTAACCTGCAAAGTTAAAAGTTTTTTTTAACCTTGAATTTTAAAAAAAGTTTTTTTAAACCTTGAATTTAAAAATTTTAAGATTTTTTCAGTCCATTACGAATATTTAAATTGGTCGATTATTTTATTCTATTATCTCAAAGTTTACTTTTTTTTATATTTGCGTACAAGTATAAAAGTCGAGTAGTGCATGATTCATTGATCATTGGATTTATTAGTTACGCGTATCAACCCAAGTCATGCATGCTGAGATTGTTGCAATTTGGTACAAAATATAATGGTGAAAAATGGAGACCCTCTTTATGCGTATATTCGAGAGAAAATATAAAGAGGGAAGGCCGGGGAAGACGTGTCCATTTACCTTCATATTTTATCGATTGAAGTTCAATTTATTTTAAGTTTTAACGAATGTTGTATGTACAGGGTAATTATTACTAAACGACGGAAAATATCTATGTAGAATAATGGTTATCATTATTATAAATAGGAAGTTTCAAAGAACTCAAAATTAAGAATTGGGCAGGGAAGAGGTTTTTCCTCTCATATTTGTCAATATTTTTGCAATATAATGTGAAAGTCAAGAGATTATACTGGATTACGGTATTGAAATTTTTGTGACAGTCTCATGTATCTAAAGTACAGTGCACAATGATTTTCACGAATTGATATTTTTAGTTTATAAATAACATGAAACTGTTTACCTAAGCGGTTGTAAAGTATCTTAATTAAAACCTAAAGCCTTTCAATGAACCTTTCGAACAATATGTTTGAAACGAAAAAAAAGTAGGGTGGGGTGAGGGCTGGCCCTTATGTTATATGCCCGTCAGATCTAGTGTATTTGAAGGGAAAAATCGAATCGGATTTAAACGAGAGCATACCCCCTCCCCTCTCAAATTTGGTCGCCAATTACTTGAGTCTGTGCTGTATGTAACACAACAAAGTTAATGATATCAATTGGTCTTTATTATCTCAACTGTGCTGAAAGCTCAAGTGACCTTTATGATCACATTTTGCCCGACGTTGTCTGTTTATCCGTCTTTAAACTTTTCACATTTTCGAGTTCTTCTCTAGAACCACTGGGCCAATGCTATCCAAACTTGCCACGAGGCATTTTTTGGTAAACGGTATTCAAGTTTATTCAAATGAAGGGCGACTACTTAGATGAGATAATTCAGAAAATGTGAAAATTTGCAATTGATGACATGTTTTAAAAGTCATCTCAAGAAACACAGTGCCAAGAATGATGAAACTTATGGGAGAAAATTTCAAGAAGTGTAGATTAAAGTTTGTTCACATAAACTCCCATCCCCTTTAAATTTAGATTGGGACCACTTATACATTTAAACTTTCAATACTGGGCTGATTTCTGCTATTTTCATAGCCACAGTGCTCAGGTAAGCGATGTAGCCCATGGGCCTCTTGTAGTTCCACTGCGTTAGTACAATATAAATATTCATTGAATCGCATAATTATTAAAAGTTGTCTTAGCATTCGATAAAGTTGTCCCACAGTTGCTGAAATCGCACATGTTTTTCCATTCTACCCCCCCCCCCCATATATGGAGGATATGTTGCTGTTTGCAAAAACTCTGCGTACGTAGTGCTCGGTTTGGTGTTCCCTGTGATGGGTATTTACATGTCCTTACAGAAATCTCAGTTTTATAAAGGATTGCGAAAATGTGCTTTTGAGTACTTTTCTACATAATGCACATTATTTAAAAATTCTGCAGCAGTGCATGTATGTCGTATATGAGCAATCAGAATGGATTTAATGTGTGCTTGCTGATAATTAAAAAATCAGTGTGCAAAATTAATGAAAATACCTGATCATATTTTAAACATCACTGATCAAACAGAGTGAAATACATATATACAGCCACTGAAACGTTTCCTGGAGAGAGAGAGAGAGAGAGAGAGAGAGAGAGAGAGAGAGAGAGAGAGAGAGAGAGAGAGAGAGAGAGAGAGAGAGAGAGAGAGAGAGAAAGAGAGAGAGAGCTATTATACATGTGTGTATTTTTTTAAAGCAAAACTATGCACCCGTTCAAATTTAGTATCTTGACATAATTATTGACAATTGTGAATAGGCATACTTCTCTTCTTGACAGAAATGTTCTTTTATGTATGGATACTTAAAGTACAAGTACATATTATACTGGTATACGGTTGTTTGGGGTATACATGTAAAAAAAAATATCTATGTATACTTACATGTAGTTCTCATGTCTTTCACTTCATGGTTTGATTCATAAAAGGAATATTTCTCTTTTCCACAGAAAAATCATTTTACATCAACAGTACTAGTAATTTTAAAAATACTACACAATCCAAGAATGACCAGGACGAAATACTTAAAATCCAGCAATTTAAATTGATCATGTACATCAATTATATCGCATGTATACCGTGCCATATACACAAATGGTAAATGCTATAAAATTAAATTTTCACAGCCTTTAATTTATAATGGACTCTAAAATGCATATGAGTCATTTTCAAAATTTGTCCAAATTCCAACACCAGTATTTTGCAAAAATAAATGTGGCAGTCTAAACTTTTTAAAGTTTTATTTAAGCATTCAAACATCATAGATGCATAAACAATGTTATGTCGACAAAATAGATTAAGAATGGTTGGCAGTTTTTGTCATGGCTTTATTGATTAATAGTCAAATCAATCATCAATACAATCAATAGTCAAAATCAATCATCAATATAATCAATAGTCAAATCAATCATCAATACAATGAATACAATGATGTACACAAGGTATCTCTACAATGATGTACATAAAGTATCAATTCAATGATGTACACAAAGTGTATATTGAATAATTAATACACAATGGGTACAATGATATTCAATGATAAACAATGATATTCAATCAATGATGTACGCAAAGTGTATACATGTATTTACACAATGGGTACAATGATATGCATTGATATGCAATGTTATTCAATAATATGCAATGATATTGAATGATATACAATGATATTCAATGATAAATGAATTGCAATGAGCAGGTAGCAATGTATTACAAAGACAATGGTCTACGTCGACTTTATCAATAGTATATGACGTAGAATCAATAGCAATGGCACAATGACGGAAGCTCAATTATTGGCCACTGGCCCTGGAAGATAACAGGATCAGCAGCGAGCTTCTAGCAAAATTCGATTCAGCATTAAAAAACAGCCTGTAAGAAGACCATATACTTTGCATTTCAATGAGACGTAACAAAGCCATGACGCTAATAGGTCCTTTTGGTATCCAAGGGAAGTGAGGTTACGGGTCCTATCGCTGGTAGCCAAGGACGGTGGAAATGGATTCTTCTGCTTGAGGACAAGGGAATGGATGAAATGGATTCTTCTGCTGGTAGCCAAAGGAATGGATGTAACGGATTCTTCTGCTGGTAGCCAAGAGAATGGATGTTAACTGAAAAAGGAAATCAAAGACAGCAGCAACATTTTGTTGGCACAAGAGAACAATTCATCAAAATCTTGTAAATTGGGAGAGGTGGGTGGGATGCTGAGCTTCAATGGCTGACGGAAGATGGAAAGGAAGAGCAAATGCACATGCGTAATGGATGTGACTAAATGAAGTCAGTGCATTTGAGTGAGAGTTATCTCCCCTGAACTTTTTATCTCTATTTGTCTCCATAACGGGACTTAACTCATATTGAGTTGAGTTAAGTCGGATTATGTCGACAAAATAGATTAAGAATGGTTGGCAGTTTTTGTCATGGCTTTATTGATTAATAGTCAAATCAATCATCAATACAATCAATAGTCAAAATCAATCATCAATATAATCAATAGTCAAATCAATCATCAATACAATGAATACAATGATGTACACAAGGTATCTCTACAATGATGTACATTAAGTATCAATTCAATGATGTACACAAAGTGTATATTGAATAATTAATACACAATGGGTACAATGATATTCAATGATAAACAATGATATTCAATCAATGATGTACGCAAAGTGTAAACATGTATTTACACAATGGGTACAATGATATTCAATGATATGCATTGATATGCAATGTTATTCAATAATATGCAATGATATTGAATGATATACAATGATATTCAATGATAAATGAATTGCAATGAGCAGGTAGCAATGTATTACAAAGACAATGGTCTACGTCGACTTTATCAATAGTATATGACGTAGAATCAATAGCAATGGCACAATGACGGAAGCTCAATTATTGGCCACTGGCCCTGGAAGATAACAGGATCAGCAGCGAGCTTCTAGCAAAATTCGGCCATATGTCTTCACATGGGAGCTAATAAAGCGCAGCATGTGAAGACATCCGCCACATGCGGCAAATTTTGCCCACACCATGACAAAACTGCTACTTATTACAATTATGTAAAATTAATTACTGCTTGATATATATGCAGTATACCGTAGAACTAGGGAAATTTTTTACGAAGATCAATAATATATGTAAATATGTAATGATCAATAACTTTTCAATAGATCAATAGTTGCAAAGATCAATTATGTAATGATCAATAACTGTTCAATAGTTCAATAGAACAATAGTTGCAAAGATCAATAATATATGTAATGCTCAATAACTAAATGGAAATGGTAGGTAGCACTGCAAATTTTGACAAATTATTTTGATTATGTCACACTGAATGGTATAGAGAATAATGGTAGAATGTGCTATATGGGAAAGGTGAACACCCTCTGGATTGATGAGCCCTGTTGAATATTGGGGTAGTGACTATACCCCCACCCCTTGTAGCAATGAACCAATATAATGAGCTATATATCCTAATGCAAACCTTGTGTGACAACATGGGCCTGAAATAATTTCTTGGCAGCATTTGTGACCCAATAAATTTTAACCTTGGTATTAAACATAATTGAAAACAAGACAGTCAATTTCATAAACTTTTGTAGATGGCAAAGGGACATGGAACCAATACTATTACCCACAATGTATCATTATGACATGTGGGTTGTTGTATTATGACACCAGAGTTCGAATATTTGAATGGTGGGACCTTTTTCCAGGTCATTCCTTGTTGACCAAACCATCTGATATGGATGTTGTATTGTTCGAAGTCCGATTCGCATTATCTAAATTGATGAATGTGTGATTTTTTGCATAATACTATTAAAGATGATGCAATAACCCATACAATGACAGAAGTGCCTGCAAACTTAGAATAAATTTAAAAACAGTAAAAAGGTGTTGTCAAGTGTGACTGTCAAGTGTGACTGTGTCTGACAAAAATTGAATGAAAATCTGAAATGCATGGACTTCCATCTCCGTTTAATCTTTATATAATCTTCAGACCAGCCTGATAAATTCAAGTGTGTAGCACCCCCCAATTCTAAGAGTATTACCCTTAAATGTTTTAGTGTCAAAGCCAAGAAATGAAATAAATTTCTGTAGCATTAAAGTAATGGAATGACGAGAAGGCTTCACGCCAAATTAAGCAAAAACTGAACGTGGAATGTTGGGTCTAATTGACAAGTAGCTGTGAAGTATTTTAAATAATGAAGATGTTTCTTGGTTTGACAAAATGTGGAAGATATATATACATGTATAATTATGCTTTTGCTAAAGCTGCATTTTAAATCAATTAATTATTTATTTATTTATATATAATTGCCTATTTATTTATTATTATATTATAAACATAATTTTTTAAACTAGTGCTAATTGTAACGGGAACCGTTACAGATGTTCCCCAAACGCTCCCCAACTCCCTTTTGGTGCCATATTCCATGTAAGTCTTATTAAATAAGACAACATCTGTGCATTTTAGACTTTAACAACGTTTTCCCAGAAGGATACCAATTATATTCTAAGTTTAACATTGCAGGCGTGTGCATGTGAATGCACGTGCGTAATGATCATATCGTCTTATCTACACTTTCTATTTATCTAAATATACTCTATATTAAAGCATTTAGTCCAAAAGTATTAAAATACCCATTCAATTTCACTCATTCCAAGTGCACGCACATACGTGCACGTGCATGATGACCATACCTTCTTGTAGGAGGCCCTTATATCTATCTATGTTGTAAATCCCATCCTGTTTGGTTGAAAACCAAGGGAGTTATAGCCATTTCAAGTTTCAGCCAATCAGATTGCAGCACACGTGCATGCGCGTGATTTCATGATTTTTTTTTCTAAATCATATTGTAGGATATCCTAATGCATGACTATGTTTTAAATTTCAAAGCATTTCGTCAAAAAACAAAGGAGATATAGCCATTTCAAGTTTCAGCCAATCAGATTGCAGCACACGTGCATGCGCGTGATTTCATGACTTTTTTCTAAATCATATTGTAGGATATCCTAATGCATGACTATGTTTTAAATTTCAAAGCATTTCGTCAAAAAATAAAGGAGATATAGCCATTTAAAGTTTCAGCCAATCAGATTGCAGCGCACGTGCATGCGCGTGATTTCATGAAATTTTTTCCATATTATATTGTAGGATATCCTAATTCATGACAATGTTAAAAATTTCAAAACATTTCGTCGGAAAACAAAAGAGATATAGAGATTTTTGTTTCAGCCAATCAGAGGAAGGCGCACGTGCATGCGCGTGAGTTCATCCTAATTTGACAGTGTCATATTATTAACACTTTTAATATATCTTTATGTAATGAGTTTCAAAGCATTTTATCAAAAAATGTAAAAGTAATAGCTATATTAAGTATATCAGTCAATTCACTCATTTCACGCGCACGCACGTGCAGGCGTATGCGCGCAAAATGACCTTCGTTCCGCACACCTACACTACACACCTATTAACCCTATAAAGGTTTTAGCTCAGTTGGGTGAACAGTTTCTGAGAACACTCGCGGACAAAAAAGTACCGGAGAACAAATAAGAAAAAAAATAATAATAATAAGAAACAGAGTAAAAACAATATGTTCCCAAACTCCGTTTGGGGAACATAACTAGGGCTAATTGTAACGGGAACCGTTACAGATGTTC